GCTGTTGGACTTGGCAGGAACTAACATGTTTACTCTTCCGTTTCAGAGAACTGAAGCTCGAGTGTACAGAAGCCCTGTCGGGGAAAAAACGATTACAAGAAATTGGCGTTGACAAACTGGACAAATCATTAGTTGCGAATTTCGAAGTACTTAATCTAGTTGCTGAACGTAGCATAAACAATAGCACAACAGGTGGGTTCCGCGCTTTCATTCTCCTCTTTTCAAGTGCCCAACGGTGTCTCTTGCAGATCAAATAGTGCCGCCCACAAATGCCCTGAAGTGGAAGCGAGTCGGCATAGTGTCAGGGCGAAACGTTCGTCTCGATACGATTATTTGGCCAGGAGGCGATCTGTCTGTGGCGGCTGTCTCAATTAGAGCCAGAACGGTGTTCCGAGTTGTAACCGCTCTCGCTCCTCCATTCGTTATGGCCAGTGAGCTGGACGAGGACAAACAATGCCTTAGGGGTAGGTGCTTTGTTCCTAGCAACAATTTAAAATGAGGAAATCGCAGAACCTCCAAAACTGGTTCGTTTCAGGTCTGCCATGCCACAGAGTCCTGACTTCGGACAAGGATAACTTGACCCTAGTCTTCAACGAAATGCAACGACTGGAAGTTGAAGAGGAGGAGGAGGAGGAGAAGAAGGAAGCAGAGAATGCAGAGTACGAGGACTATTCGCGCTACGCGCACGAGGATGAGGAGGAGGACTTTTTCCCCTTCCAAAAGTTCAAGTACAAAACCAGCTGCTGTTATGGACTGTCGATGGACTTGCTGGAAAACATCGCTCAAGAGCTGGAGTTTGATTTCCGGTAAAGGTCCTGATGGACAGCCGCTGGCTTAAGTTTGCTGCAAGCTTTGCATGAAATAAACGATACTCAAATTTTTCATCACTGATGAAAAATTTGAATATGAATGAAATCAACGATATTCAAATTTTTTATCAGACGCCAGACTCGACAGTCGACGTCATTACGTTTCGGCGAGACAACAGCGCCATCATCAGATTTAAAATTTACACAAACTCATAATTGGTAAACATTACGTTCTTTAGGTCTTTTCTGCAAAGACCTAAAC